CAGAGGAGCCAGCAAAGCCAGGGCTCTGTGACTGCTCGCCCCCAACCCACGGGCAGACACTGAGACCTAGGGGCCACACTGTACACCCTTCCATGCACAGAATTTCCCCAAGGCCCTCACACAGGCACAGCCTCCAGCCCCTGCTGCCCTGTGCGCTGACCCACAGCCCAATCCTAAAAACAAGACCCCTGGCAGCCGAACAAGCCTGGGGGCAGATCTCAGGACTTGCTTTGCCTGCTTGAAGCAGACAGACTCTTCCAGCCCAGAGAAGGAGGCAGATTTTCCAAGGTGCCTGAAGATCTGCCCGTAGGCAGTGCTTCTCACAGTCTGGTCCACTGTATCAGAACCACCCAGGCTGTGGGTTAATGCAGATTCCTAGGCCCACCCAGCCCTCCTGAATCAGAGTTGCTGAGGTAGCCAAGGAATCAGATTACTAATAAACACTCTGGTTCATTCCTGGTTAAGGGTCTGAGAGCCACGCTGCCCCGTGCAAATTCTGGAGCTGCCATTTATAAGCCCTTAGGCATGTCCTTTAACCTTGCTGAGCCTCAGTTTCCTGGAGATAATCATGGCGCCTGCCTCATGGGCCTGCTCTTTTTTTCTTTTTCTTGCAGTCTTCGCCCGAGGATCTGTTTATTGATTTGAGAGAGAGAGAGGGAGGGAAAGAGAGGGCGAGAGAGAGAAACAGTGATATGAGAGAGAAACACTGATCAGTTGTCTCCCGTACGCACTCCGACCAGGATTGAACCTGAAACCTAGGTAGGTACCCTGACTGGGAATCGAACCTATAGCCTTCTGGTGTATGGGATACGCTCCAACCAACTGAGCCACCCGGCCAGGGCTCATGGGCCTGCTCTTGGAGTAAAATGAGATCATGAAAGTAAAGTGCCCAGCACAGTATCTATGGACACAACAAATGTGGACCATGAGTAGCACAGCCCTGTTCTCATGCCCAGGGACTTCTGAGTGGAAGACAGAGCCTTGGGGTTCTCTTGAAGGGATGGACCCTGGTGGAGGTCTTCCACTGGGTGGGCAACAGAAAGCCTTGGCAGGGCAGGACCCTCACTCAAGATGCCCCCCACCCAGTGCTGGTGTATGGGACAGTGCCTGGCTCTCCTGCCTCCACCCAGCTGAGGTCCAAGGCCTCGCCTGCCCTAGCTTTCACCCTGCCTCCTCACTTGCTGGCAGCCTCCCTCCCTGCCCCGCTGCCTTGGGAGCCTAACTCCTTGGCGCCAGCCCTGGAGGTCTCTCCAGCTTAGTAATAAAATAGCCAGCTCGGGTCAGCTTTCCTTGGCAAGGAGGCCACCTGGCACAGAGGGCAGGAGGGAGGGGGGAAGCCTGGGGAAACAGCTCCTTAAGTGACCACCAATTATGGTCTGGTATTCTCCAAGGATCACTTGCTCCCCAAGCCAGGTGACCCCTGGGCAAAGAACCTTCTGATTTGTCTTTCTTCCTCTCCTAGTCCTTCCTTATTCACTTACCCACACATTCAGTCACTCAGTATTGACATGCCCACTGTGTGTCAGGCACTGGGGCTCAGCAACATTGGCAAAGATTTCTGTAAATGATCAAACAGTAAATATTTTCAGTGTTTTGGGCCAAACTACTCCACTTGTGTAGCAAGACAGTAGCTGTGTGTAAACAAATGAATGGATGTGTCTGTGCTCAAATAAAACTTTATTTGTGGACACTGAAGTTTAAATTTCATATGATTTTCATGTGTCCTGAAATATTCTTCTTTTGATTTCCCCTCCCAGCATTTAAAAATGTAAAAACTATTCTTAGCTCACAGGTCATACAAAGCAGGCCACAGCCAGTGGGCCACAGCTCACCACCCTGAGCTTAGCTCTCCACACAAAGACCACGGCCTGTGCCATGCTCTGTTGGTGCCAATACTGTTAACAGAGGCGAGGCCGCCGGAGAGGCTCAGTGTGGCTGAGCCACAGCAGCCCACCCAGAGCAATATAACGTCTTATCTGTAATACCTGCCTTGTGGATTGTTGCGAGAATGAAGGAGTAGCACGTTCAGACAGGTGCCTGAGGTGGGGATCAGTGGTCAGGGCCCATTGACTCTCATCAGGATTCCTTCTCCCCCACCCACTCCAGCTCCCAGCATGGCTCTGGGCACAAAGTTCCTGCTCAGTCTCTCCTTGCTAAGTCATAACTTTCAGAAGAGAAAAAGATCCATGACTCCTTGCCAGGAGCCCCTCCGGGTCTGTACCCTGGACTCCTGGGAGACTTTGCCCTTCAGACTTAGCTTGGAGCATTTCCCTTTGGCTTCTTTGCCCCCAGCGAAATGATCCCCTTGTCCCTCCCAGGCCAGCCCACTTGGATGCCCAGGGTTAGGAGCTTGTGGACATGAAGAGCTCTTGGCTCCAGGGATGACCTGTGAAGGAAGCAGCTGCTTGGCTGGGGATAAAGGAGCAAGAGCTTACCTCCCCTGCCAGTCCAAGGTCCATGGGGTAGGCAGGCTGCCAGGCCAAGGCCTTGGGCACCTCAGCCCTTAGGCTGAATACCCCAATGCTCCAGCACTTTGCTCTCCTCTCTAGGTACACTCCTCTCCCAGGTGGGTACCCGGTTTGCTCTGCCTTCCAGAACATCACCCCTTCTTACCCCTCTAAGAGCCTCTATTACCTTCTCTGGTTTTCTTCTTCTTCTTTTTTTAAAAAAAAATGTTTTTATTGATTTCAGAGAGAGGAAGAGAGAGATTAAAAACATCAATAATGAGAGCTGATCATTGATCGGCTGCCCCCTGTACCTCCCCTACTGGGGATTGAGCCTGCAACCTGGCCATGTGCCCTGACCTGGAATCAAACTGTGACCTCCAGGTTCATGGGTTGATGCTCAACAACTGAACCACACAGGCTAGGCTGGTTTTATTCTTTCATAGTCCTTATCACTATGTGAAATTTTATTGTTTGTTGTTAGGGTTGTGGTATTTTTTTTCCTCCAGTCTCCCTTTCACTAGAATTTAAGCTCCTTAAGGGCCAGACTTTCATCTACTTTGATTCTTATCATTACCCTCACAGGACAGATAATATCCCCTATTTAATAGTTAAGCATACTGAGGTCACTCAGTTAGTGAGTAGCAGAATGCAGATTCGGGGCCAGGTCTCTCTGACAGTCAAAAGCTCACATTCTGTGCCTCCACAATGAGATAGAGCTTGATTAATCTGCAAGATGGGGATAGGGGGGTACATAGGTCTTGAGACCTATCATCTGTTTCCAGCAGCAGTAGAATCAGGAAGTATTTATGGGAATCCTAGGAACTTTCTCTGCTATCTTGCAGGAAGAAAAGCCAGGTTGGCTTCCCTCTTGCCTTCTTGGAGCTCATAGGCTGTTTAGGCAGAGAAACATTCTAGTCTCTTCATTGCAAAGCAGATTGTACTAAGAGCTTTAAAGGATTGCAAAGTGCTTTATAGGTGCTGTCTTAGTCTGCTCAGGCACCTGCAACAGAATACCATGGACTGAGTGGCTTAAGCAACAGGAATTTATTTTTTGCAGTTCTAGAGGCTGGGAAGTTCAAGATAAAGTACTGGCTAATTCAGTTTCTGGTGAGAGCCCTCTTCCTGTTTGGAAGCCAGCTGCCTTCTTGTAGCCAGCCTCACATGGTGGAGAGAGAGTTCACTTCTCTTTTGTCTCTTATATAAGAAGGGCTCTACCCTCATGACACAATTACCTCCCAAAGACCCCACCTCTAAAAACCATCGCACTGATGATTAAGGCTTCAACGTATGAATTTGGGGAGGACACACATTCAGTCCACAGCAGGAGTTGATGGTGGTACTCAGAAAAGTCAGGACAGCCCTAGCTGGTTTGGCTCAGTGGTTAGAGCATCGGCCCGCAGACTTAAGGGTCCCCGGTTCCATTCCAGCCAAGGGCATGTACCTTGGTTGCAGGCTCAATCCCTGCCCCCGTCGGCGTGTGAGCGGGAGGCAATCCATCCATGTGTCTCTCTCACATCAGTGTTTCTCTCCCCCCTCCACTCTCTCTGCAAAGCAATGGAAAAAATATCTTCAGGTGAGGATTAAAAAAAAAAAAAAAAAAAAAAACAAGTCAGGACAGTGGTGCCTGAGGTTGAGGGGGGGGGTCGTCATCAAGGAAGACACTTTGGGCAGAGAGGGCAGCAGGAGCAAGGACCAATGAGACAGGGCCTGTCTGAGGAACAGTAGAGCCTAGAATGTGCCGGGAAAAGGCAGTGATTATATATGTAAGGTGGTCGAGAAGGTAGGTTGGGGTCAAATCACAGAAGGCCTAAAAGCGATTGGGGAAGTCTGCACAGGAGATAGTAAGAACACCAACAGAACCGCTGACTGTGCATGTTGGGTGCTTTACATTTTAGAAACACTTCCCGTCCATCCCTCCGCCGTGTCCGCACAGCGGCAGCCGCAGGCAGGGGAGGCAAGCTGAGGCTCAGGCGCCCGAGGCAGGCAGGGGAGGCAAGCTGAGGCTCAGGCGCCCGAGGCCGCGCCGGCCGAGGTGCAGACAGGAGCAAATCACTCCGCCTCTCTGACTCTCACCTTACTCACCTGACAGCGAGGCTCAGTTCTCAGCACTTTAGAAAGGATTCCACAAAACCACATGTGAAAATGCTGTATTTAGCTTCTGGCCTCAGTTTTTTTTTTCTGTTAAGTTGGGTCACTTCCTGTCCAGCCTAATTCAGGGGGCTGGGGCTGTGACCTTTGCCTAAGGCAAGAAGCTTCTTAATGCGGTCAGGGAAGTTAGTGTTTTGGGGATAGTAAGCTGAGAGCCTCAGGGAAGGGACTTTGGCTACTTTACAGCGTTTCTTCGCACCGGTCGCTATTTAATCTGAGACAGGCACAGAAAGCGCAGAACCTGCTGCAGAAGGGAGAGGAGACGCCGCGCAGGCGCACTGGCGTAGCCCAACCCGGTCCCCTTAAGGGCCATACTTCTCATGCCCCGCCTTCCGCCCCCAAATCACCAATCAGCGAGCGAGGTGCTCCGTGACGCTATCTTCTCGCGACGAAGCCGGCTGGCGGCGGCGTTTCCTGGTGACGGAGCCGGGCGCCGAGGCCATGGGAAGCCAGGAGGTGCTGGGCCAGGCGGCCCGCTTGGCCTCCTCCGGTCTCCTCCTGCAGGTACTCTCTGCCCCGCCGCCCCAAGCCGTCCCGCAGCCGGGGTTTGCGGGGAGCCCGCCTGCCGGCAGGCTCAGTCTCGGTGTGAATCCCGCTGCCGAGGGGCTCCACGGGAGGAGGAGGCGGCGGCGGCGATGGGGCTCCTGGGCCCGGAGCCGGGAGCCTGCGCTCAGAGTCCTGGCTCGGAGATGGCAAACAAGCCACGTTCGTTTTGAGAATTGTCGTTCCCATATGGCAGTAGGAGAGAGATCAGGTGGCACGGGTGTTTGCGGTGCTGTAGAATCTGGTATTTTTTAAGGCAAGGGTTTCATTTTCTCCATGCCCCACCCCTTACCCTCAAACACGCTCCTCACATTCCCTGGCTCCCACTTCCAGAGAGACCATACGGCATAGCTAGGAACAGGGACCTGGGCTCAGGCACGCCTGAATTGGTATCTTGGTTCTGCCAAGTTCTTGCTGAATGAACCTGGACTTCACCTGCTAAGCCTCAGCTCCTCATTGGAAAATGGGGGTAATAATAGTAGTAGTAGTAATAATAGTGATAGTTGCTGCTAGGCTAGATTGAAGTTGTTCAGATCATTGCACTTAGCACAGCACTCTTAGAATGCACTTAGTAAATGTTGGCTGTGTCTTCCTTCTGGCTCCGTGACCTTGGACCAGTCACTTCACTGCCTCTTCTTGGCCCTAATTTTCATCATGTCAGATGACGTACATGCCACTTGGCCCAAATGGTATCTAAAGATCCTTTTAACCCTAGGAGCCGGTCATTCTAAGTCAAGCAGCTCAATTTCTCTGTGTCTTGCTCTTGACCCACTCAACCCTTCCTCACAAAAGTCCTGAATCCACCTTGCCCTTATTTTAGAGAATGAGCATTTCACTTGGAGGTTAGGAGAAGGCACCAGGCAGCCTTGGGCTCAAGTTTGGGCCTTGGCACTGGCTAGACGCCCGTCCTTGGGAAGATCCCCGGACTTCTCCGAGCATCAGTTTCCTCATCTTAAATGAGAACAGTAAGATGCCTGTTATGTGCCTGGCACCTTATAAGTAATTAATAAATGGTAGCTATTTTTATGACGGTCATTAGAATTTTTTAAATGGTCATAGTAGGGATGCAATGACATTGGGGCAACTCACTTTGCTCTGAGTCTTACTTGCTTCATGTGCATTTACCTGGTTGCTTTTAAGGGTCAAAAATTAACATATGTGAAAGAGCTTTTTTTTAAACTAAATTCCTTTACAAAGTGAAGTGGAGACTGTTACTAATAAGCGCCACTATGTGGAGCAAATACTGAGTAGCATGAGCAACCTCAGAGCTTCATTGGCTCAAGCTTTTATTCAAACCAATTAAGAGATAAGGAAAGGCCTTCGACATTAGATTTCTTAGACAAGAATAACTTTGACTTTGAAGTTAACGTAAACCTGTATGTGTTTTTTAAAAAATAGCCATAATCTTTAGATTTCTTGAGTGTTTTAATTCAATCTCGTATGCTTTCTCAGCTTACAGTGCAGACACTTGGGGTAGCTTTGCAATTACTTTGTAATCTGCAAGAATTTGAGATTCCTTTGTAATCTGTCTTAACTCTGAGCTGACCACAGTGGAAGTATTAATACCTTTCACTTGTTTGCATTTTTCAAAAATGCTTTTACCTACACAACCTTGTTTGTCCTTGTTATCAATCCTATAAGATAGGCAGCCTCATCTGACAAAGGAGGAAACCGAGGCATATAAATAAACATTCGAGGACAACAGGGCTAACAGTTAAATGGTGACTTGAGATTTTCAGCTGAATGCTTTTTTCCATTAACAGCTCAATGAATTGGCTTCAAACCTTTAAAACTGAGGACAGAATTTGGTATGTATGTACATACAGGGATGGGCAAAAATAGGTTTATAGTTGTGATACAGATAATACAATAATTAATAACAATACAAGAATAAACTTTTGCATACTCACAACTGTAAGCCTACTTTTGCCCACCCTTGTATATACCTGTATGTTTCTAAGGAGAGCTACAGAGCTATCCCCAGGCTTACAAAAGGCCCCATTTCTCTCCATAAATGTTAAGATTGTGATATCTTCGCCTTCGAGACCTTGCTGCTCTGTGAAACTTCTCACTTTTTGGTTTTACGTTTCCCTAGAGATTTTCAGACACTGGTGGTTCATGGCATACTTTGATTAATATTGCAGCTGTTCATAGGTAACTGAGCATGTTTGACAGGGAAGTGATTTGTCTTTAGCTCCCAAGTGCACTTGAGTTCCACCTGTGGAACTGGGTCAGCTGGGCCACATAGGGAGAGTCACTTAGTGGGGGAGGCTTGCATCCAGCCAGTATCCCCATTTAGTAACCTCATTTAATTGCAACCTGTTCTCTGTCTCATGGGAAGAATTCACTGCTAAGGTGGTTTTTTTGAGTTGACAGGTTTGAAAGTCTCAGGATATATTCCTTTCAAATGGCAGTAGCTGGACTCTGTCACCCACCCCCCATTTTACATTATCTTATTGCAGTTGTCATTTAAAAGGTATTTTTAACTCCTCTCTGGAAGGTGGCAAATAGTAAATAAATTCAGCCTTTTCTGTTTTCTAATTGAAAACTGAATTTCAAAGAGATTACATGTCATTGGAATCTCTGTAGACAGAGAAGAAAGAGAAATTAGACCCCATGATTACCAGTGAATCTGCTACACCCTGCATGCTCCCACTTGCAAAGTGGGTGCTCTTTCTTCCTTCCTTTCTTTTTTAAATATATTTTTATTGATTCCAGAGAGAGGAAGGGAGAGGGAGAGATAGAAACATCAATGATGAGAGAGAGTCATTGATTGGCCACCTCCTGCACACCCCTCTCTGGGGACGGAGCCCACAACCAGGGCATGCGCCCTGATCAGGAATCGAACTGTGATCTGGATCATAGGTAGATGTTCAACCGCTGAGCAACACTGGCTGGGCAGTGGGTGCTATTTCTAAACAGGCCAGAAGGAGGGGCAATGTGAAGCACTAACAGATTTTCTTTCTGCCTCCTGGAGTGCCTGACTTTGAACCCAAAGAAATGGTCTGTCGGGTCTCTGTCTTCTCATCAGTAAATTAGGGTTTACTTATGGGTTCTTTGACCACTGCCCAGGCATGGTGAGAGACCCCAAGGAGTGACATTTTTGGAAGAAATACAGACAGATTGCTTTAGAAAGGGTCTCCATGGCAAGGCTACTATGTGTCATTACAGTAGGAAGAGCAGCCACATTGTTTTCATTTCAGCAAATTAAACACTCCCAACTTTATTTATTTATTTATTTATTTATTTATTTATTTATTTATTAATATATCTTTATTGATTTCAGAGAGAGGAAAAGAGAGGAAGAGAGAGAGATAGAAACATCAATGATGAGAGAGAGTCATTGATTGAGCCCGCAACCCGGGCATGTGCCCTGACTGGGAATTGAACCCTGATCGCCTGGATCCTAGGTCGATGCTCAGCCGCTGAGCCACACCCGGCCAGGCCCAACTTAATTTATTCTGATGTATTTTCCTTCTTTTTCTGTAGGTGTTGTTTCGATTGATCACCTTTGTCTTGAATGCATTTATCCTTCGCTTCCTGTCCAAGGAAATCGTTGGCATAGTGAATGTAAGGTAAGAAGGGATGTGCCCCGGCACTGTCCACAACTCACATCCCTAGTCAGGTTTTCCTCTGTGCCTGTGTGTCACCCTCGGATTTTAGAGGCATGGACATCTACTGGAGTCACAATGTTTTAGCTGTGGGCTGAGGAGGAGCATGCTGGTGGGGGAATGAGTGGGGGATGTTGCTCTTAATGGACCCATGGAGTGTTTTCCATTAGCAGCCTCCAAATGCACATTTCCAAGCCAGCTTTTTCCTGTTTGCCTGCTCTCAGAACCCAGGAGAGGAGTGGGAGTAATTCATGGCAAACCCAGTCTCAGGTGTAATTCTATGTTCTTGTCCTGCTGACAGCAAAGGAAGCAGGAATTCTGCAGCTCATGAGGACATGCTTTGTAATTGTAGGGCTAGAACAGCCACCTTCCTTTCCTTGGTGAATTTTTTTTTCTTTCACTGAATTGTATAATGGAAAATGGTAGCTGGGGTAAGAGCTTGAGTCCTTGCCATTAGTTCCTTGGAGGCTCTTAGCTGACTTGCTTTGTCATTTAGACTCTGTTTCTTCTGCTTCCTGTTCAAGGACACCCACACATGTACTGTATTCACAAATGACACTGAAGTGTATGAAGTGATGTGAGTGTGCAGAATAGCTCAGCTTCTCAGGTGTGTCTTCAGGTCCTGATAAACAAGACAATATGTTCCAGACAGTATTTCACATCTAATACCTACCAAACACGTGCTCTTGGCTCTGTTCTCGGGGCTTGGTGAAGGTTCTTAAATGTTGATGGGCAAAGGAATCATCTGGGGAGCTTTGCACTATGAAGGGCTGAGGAGGGGCCCAGGAATCTGCATTTTGACAGGCTTCCCAGGTGATTTTGAAGTAGAGACCATTCTTTGAGAAATACTGTTTTAAAGGCAGGAAGGAAAAGACCAAATCCTCTTAGGTGCTCAGACTTTAAAGCAGTTTGGGCCTCTCCCCATCTGGTCTCCTCCAGAGTGGATGGTCTCTGCCTTGATAGCACTCGTCTGGCCTGGCCCTGCTTAACGTATAGCTGTCTCCTCAGTCACAGTGTTGGACAGGAGCACTGGGTAGCAAGTTTGGACAGCCTCAGAAACCTTAGCCCAGGGCCATCCCCACTCTGGCTTTCCCTGGGCTGCGGCCTGCTGGGGAAGGGAAACCCAGCTACTCCCTAAGGTGCGGAGGGTCTACCTCGGTGCTGTCAGCTTCGGAGGTACATAGGCAAGCCTTGCTGTCCTGGGCCACAGCAGACTCTGTAATGGCTGCCAGCCTCTTTGCTGTCCTGAGATTCTTTTGGCGGGAGCCTCCGCTCAGTAGAGCCTCAGCTTCTCTCACAAGGGCTGTTGGGCCTCCAGCCTCAGTGACCATGGGGTCCTCTTGTGTAGGGTCCTACCCGGTCCTTTTCCTTATGGTCAGAGCCACACCTCTGCCTACAGCCACAGCCTGAAGGCTTTGGGGGCCACGGTGGCAGTTTCTTCCCAGGTAGAACTATAGGCACGCGCTCAGTTGTCCCTCATTTGGTTCCTGACTTTGTTGTTTGAGTAGATTAGACTAGTGAGGGTTCCTGTAAGAAACCGTCTTCCACATCACCACCAGTGATTTATAACCAAGACTTTTTCTTCCTGTTGCTTGTAAAATCTCAGAAATTCTCTCTATTAAAAAACTAGACATTATTATTATTTTTGTGAATCACCTGAGGATATTTTTTCCATTTATTTTTAGAGAGAAGGGAAGAGGGGGGACAGAGAGAGAAAGGGGAAAAAAACACATCAATGTGAGAGAGACACATCGATTGGTTGCCTCCCCTGCAACCCAAGTATGTGCCCTTGACCAGAAATTGAACCCAAAACCCTTTGGTGCATGAGCTCATGCTCTAATCGCTGAGCAACACTGGCCAGGGCTAGAGACATTGATTTTTACTTTCCCTTTACAGGCTAACACTGCTTTACTCGACCACCATCTTCCTGGCCAGAGAGGCCTTCCGTAGGGCATGTCTGAGTGGGAGCACCCAGCGAGACTGGAGCCAGACCATCAACCTCCTGTGGCTAACGTGAGTTGTGCTTTGTCAGGAGACAGTTTCAAAGACAAGTGTAACAAATATCACAAGTTAAACAGCAACAGTTGCCTAAAGCTGAACTATCTCCAGCTTTGGTTTTGCAGTGGGTTTCTGGGGACTTGGCATCTGCTCTTTTCTCTCTGGGTAGCCAGGAGCCAGGAGGAGGCTCCAGGTGGGGGCTTCTGGGCTAGGTTACTAGCCCTAGTTCTACCCTTTTTGGAAGTTGTTTCTGCTGTTCCTGATCCCCAATCTGGGCCCCCTCGGCCTGTGTCATCTTTTTTATTCCTAATCTTTTCCCCCCTGTGGTATTTTCTGAGCATTTAACAACCACTTAGTCTTAGTATTTTTTGAAAGCCTTTTAGGAGTTTCATTGTATCTTTCTTCAATTTTGTTATGTTGATTTCAGTTCTGGGCCTTTTAGAATATTATTGAAGACCAAGTACATCAGCTAAAAATTGTAATAGCTTTTCTGCAGTTAAATCCCTGCAGGGAGGATTGGTGGTTGAAGTTGTTTCCCAATTCTGCCCTTGCATAACTCCTGTTGCCTCATGGAAATGACTGTCATCAAGGCTGCTAAGTTTTCATTTTATTAGAGGAATGACTGTAAACTACCCAGTCATGTAAGTGCTCTAGGCTACACATGGGAAGGAATACTATGCACTGGACTATTGGTCATTAGGGTGTAAGTACCAGCTGTATACTGTCTTTTAGTCATTCTAAGTAGAAACAGCAGGCACACACTTTTGGGGAATTTTGCTTTTTTTTCTAAATGTTTTTATTGATTTCAGAGAGAGGAAGGGAGAGGGAGAGAGAGATAGAAACATTAATGATGGGAGAACCATTGAACAGCTGCCTCATGCATGATCCCTACTAGGGCTTGATCCTGCAACCCAGGCATGTGCCCTGACCAGGAATCAAACCATGATCTCCTGCTTCATGGGTTGACACTCAACCACTTAGCCACGCTGGCTGGGTGGGAAATTTTGTTTTTTGAGTCAGTGTAACACAGTGGATAGGGGTGTAGCCTGGCATTAGACAGATCAGAATTGGGCCTGCTTTTCTGCCCTTTACTAGCTAGCTATTCATGACCTTGGCCAAATTACCTAGTGCCTGTCTGCCTTAGTTTCCTCCTCATTTAAATGGAGATAATGACAGGATCATTATGAGGTGTCAGTGAGATTAAGGGGGGAAGCATAGTACCTGGCACGTAGTAAGTGCCCGAATAAGAATTAGCTGTTTTTATGCTTATAACTATATTTCTTTTCTGTTCAGTGTGACTATTTTAATATATACTTTATTTTTATACTTAATATATTAAAAAATATTTCCCCCCATTTTTAGGGTCCCTCTGGGTGTGTTTTGGTCTTTGTTCCTGGGCTGGGTCTGGCTACGGTTGCTTGAAGTGCCTAATCCTAATGTCATCCCCCACTATGGAACTGGAGTGGTAGTGTTTGGTCTCTCGGCTGTGGTGGAGCTTCTGGGAGAACCCTTCTGGGTCTTGGCACAAGCACATATGTTTGTCAAGCTCAAGGTCAGTATGCCTTCTACTGTTAATGGGAAATGCAAAGAATAGGGGAAAGAGTGTTTTTTTTAAAATGGGAGAAAATGATGTTTTTCAGACTTGCATCTAAAAAGATATATGGAGAAAGGTAACATGATCAATTTAGTTTATTCACTTGAAAATTGGCAGATGGGCTGGACTAAAGTTTTCCTCTGCTATACTATTAATGAAAAAACAGGTTTGCTAATAGGGAGGTTATTAGTTAAGATAAGAATTTAAGAGGACTGTAAAGGTTTTTCAGATTTTTCTATTGATTATATTTTTATATACTAATAACTTTTCTCTTTATCTTTAAAAATATATAACTTGCTAAATACAAAGGAATGTATATAACATTCATGTAAATCTTAAAGCAGGATAAGATACTGGAGACCTCTGAACCTACCACTCAACACAGTGGAACATTACTGAAACTATGTCCAGCCACGTGCCCCATCCCCATTGCCAGGCAGCCACAAGCCCAGATTTCCTGTTTGTCACTTCTTTTTAAGTATATCTTTATTGATTTCAGAGAGAGGAAGGGAAAAGGAGAGAGAGAGAGAGAAACATCAATGATTAGAGTCATTGATCAGCTGCCTCCTGCATGCCCCCTACTGGAAATTGAGCCCGCAACTCGGGCATGTGCCCTAACGGGCAATCGAACCGCGAACTCTTGGATCCTAGTCTATGCTCAACTGCTGAGCCCCACCTGGCCAGGCTTCTGTGCATCTTTTAAAGTAGTTTTTAATTATGTTTGTAAAGTGCACTCTTTGCCACTCGTTTGCAGGTGATTGCTGAGAGCTTGTCGGTAATCCTCAAGAGCGTGTTGACAGCTCTTCTCGTGCTGTGGCTGCCTCACTGGGGACTGTACATTTTCTCTTTGGCCCAGGTACAGTTATGGTTTTTAACTTTTGCATAATCTATTTTTCCCACCTGTTTTTTTCTTCTTGTTCCTGTTACTACATGGCTTGCATTTGAAGTATCTCTGCATGTAAGGAAGGCTAGAAGCTCTAGATGCTCTTGACACTGCTGCTCCTCTGGCTGCCCTGTTTTTCACGCCATGACACATTCTCTGTCAATTTAGGTGTTATAAATCTAAGAGCCAACAGCTCCTCATATCACCAGGCAAGCCACAGCCAATTCCCTTTGTCCAACTGGCCTCCAGGTTCCTCCTCAGATAACCCCTCCCCCCACAGCATCAAATAATAGTCACTCTGGAATATATAAAGAATTCTTACAGCTCAACAACAAAAAGACAAAGTGGGTAAAGTACTTGACTAGACATTTCACCAAAGAAGACAGACAAATGGCCAATAAGCTCCTGAGAAGATGCTCAACATCATTAGTCATTAGGCAATGTAAATCAAAACCACAATGAGATACCACTTTACACCCATTAGGATGGCTGTTATATAAAAGATACAGAAAATAGCAAGTGTTAGTGAGCATGTGAAGAAATTGGAACCCTCATAAGTTGCTGGTGATAAACTAAAATGGTGCAGCCGCTCTGTAAAGCAGATTGGCAGGTCCTCAAAGAGTTAAATGTAGAACTGCTAAGTGACCCAGCAGTTTCACTCCTAGGTATATACCCAAAAGAATTAGCAACAGGTGTACAAGCAGCTTGTACATGGATGTTCATAGCAACACTATTCCCAAAGCTGAAAGGTGGAAGCACCCAAAATGCCCAACTGATGAATGGATGAGCAACATGTGGTGTGTCCATACAATATAATATTATTCAGCCATAAAAATGAAATACTGATACATGCTACAACACAATGAACCTTGAAAACGTTATACAAAGTCAAAGAAGCTGGACACAAAAGGCCACCTATTGTATGATTCCATTAATGTATAATACCCAGAATAGAAGAGTCCAGAGAGACAGAAAGCAGATGAGTGGTCACCAGGGGATGGGGGAGATGGAGAGTGACTGCTTGATGGGTACAGAATTTCCTTTTGGAGTGATGGAAATGTTCTGGAATTAGATCTCAGCGGTAGCTGTGCAACACTGTAAGTGTACTAAAAGCCACTGAGTTTAAAATGGTTAAAACAGTGTTACGTTACGTGGATTTTCCTCAGTAGGAGTAAAGGGGAGGGATCATGGAGTTAGGATATGCTGCATGAACACTACCCGTGGGTTGCCACTGTTTCTCCAGGCTCCGTTCAGTGGGAAGATGAGAGGTGGGGAAGGGAGCTGCTAAAGGGTCTTATCACAGGGTGTTGGCAGCAGGTGGTCTGGCTCACAGCAGTGCTGCTATGTCTTAAAGCATTTGTGGCATGAAAGAAGAAGGGTGAGGGTCTGGGGGAAGGTGGTCCCAGGTACTAGGCGTGTGATGTGCAACATGATGACTGTAGCTAACACTGCTCTGTAATATATAGGAAAGTTGTTAAGGTGGTAAATCCTGTGAGCTCTCATCACAAGGAGAATTTTTTTCCCTTTTTCTCTTTTCTATTGTGTCTATATGAAAAGGTGGATGCTGGCTGAAGCTATTGTAGTAATAATGTCACCATATGTGTATGTCAGTCAAACCATCATGCTGTAAGACTTAAACTTATACAGTGATGCAAGTCAATTATTTCTCAATAAAACTGGAAAGAAAAAAAAAGATGGTGGTGGGCTCTGTTCTCAGGCATGGATGGGACAGGCGTGGATAGCAGAGGAGCCTAAAGCTTCTAAACTGAGACTCTTTGCTCTGTGCCTTCCCTACAGGTGTTTCTAGATTGAAAGGGGGGCCTGGAGGTCCCATTCCTTCTTGAGCTAGTGTGCACTAGTGTTTTCAGAGGGAAAGAGGGTAGAAGGGAACTTGCAAAACGGGGCTCTTCGAATACTCTTCCCCAACCTGCAAATAAAACCCCAGGCTGCTGCTCCTAGCCAAGAGACATCCTTTGTCCCGGATGGGTGCTGGGAGTGTGGGCTTTCTTATCATTTCACCTTTCCCTCTCCATCCTGTAGTAGCTCTTGCCCTGCCCAGGCGCTGGACAGAGAGGAGAGAGCCAGCAGTTCAGTCCCGCCTTGTAATCATAATGTCACAGGTTTCCACAGTTTATGGAGAATCCCCAGTGCTAGATGATGGCAGGTCCCTGGACGTGCTCAGCTAGGACGCATGGACCTTCACAGTGTGCTGTCAAGGCGGGAGAGCCTTTTTTTTTGGCCAAATGCAAATCCTTTGAGAATGTATCTGACATTGGTATGGCAGTTGGCTGTAGTGGATATCTGTCTGGAAATTGTGTCCACTTGCCCAGAACTTCTCTTCTCCCAGTCAGGTGAAGTACTTGCAACACTTTTCCCAGAGATACTGCAGCGGAGCTGGGTCCCAGTAAATAGACCAGAGGGTGATGTGTTGCTTAAGAAAAGGTGCAGTTAATTAAAACCGTTCTATTTTTTGATTGGCCTTTGAGGTCAAATTAATAGGCATATCTTAATTATGCCTATATTAAAATGGTGTGATTTAAACACATTATTTCCTTTTTTTTTCCAGCTTTTCTATACTGCAATTCTGGTGCTCTGCTATGTTATTTATTTCAAAAAGTTACTGGGTTTCTCAGGATCAACCAAACAACAAACTTTTCCTGTCTCCAGAATGACAGATCTGCTACCCAAAATTCTGAGAAGTAGAGTAAGTAATGTATTTTTGTCTTTTATCATTTCAGTCATAGATGCTGGTTATCCTTGAGGAAAAGACCCTGCAACTTGATTGGTTATTATTAGAATAGTAAACATAATTTAATAGTTCATATTTATTGAGTGCTTGCTATGTGCTCAGCCAGGGTTTCTAAATCTTGGCACTATTCACATTTTGGGCTAGATAATTCTTTGTTGCAGGTACTGTCCTGTGCATTGTGGGATGTTGAGCAGCTTTCTCAGTTTTTACCCACTAGATGCCAGTAGCTACCACCCCCCAGCTATAACAAACACACTGTCCCCAGACACTGCCAAATGTCCCCTGGGGGACAAAATTGCCCCCCGTTGAGAACCAATGTGCTAGGCCCTGTGCAGAGTACTCTACATGCCCTTATTTATAACAACTCTGTGAGGCTGCCACGATTATTTATATTTTACGGTTGAGGAACTGAAGCTCAGTGACTAAATACCTGCTCAAGATGAGGGTCACAGTGAGGACAGGAGCCTGGAGTAGCTTGAATCCCAGCAGAGCACAGTAACCACTGTGTTCCGCTCTGTTCTGCTGTCTCTTGTTTTTTCCCAGGATTCACCTCTGGCACAGACATTCCAGAGCACTGACAAAACAGGGATGACCCTGCATAGTTCCCTCATCTAGTGTCAGGCCTATCTCTCAGGTGATCCACTTTCCCATGTAGTCCTCTGAGGATTCTTGATGCTAATGTGTGGGAGCGAGGCATCATCTTTTTCTACTCAACTCTTTAACTCTCAATCCCTCTGACCTTTATTTCTGACCCCATGGGGTCAGCGCTGCTGTGTGTGGCCTGGAGTTGCGCAGGTGATGTCATACCGCATCGCCTCTGTGTGGTTGCTTTGTGCACTGCTCCATTCCAGGCTATCCCATTTCCCCCTTCCCCTACCTGTTTGCTGGCTGGATGTGGGGTGCATAGTTGAGGTAAGGCTTTGACTGCACTTCTCCATATTCCTCTTTTGTGACTCCTTGAAAAAGTGGTAAAATATTTGGGACTTTAAGTCTCAGAACTTAAGGAATCTTGCTGTACAACTTTTCAAGAAAAACCAGATTTATGTAACAAAGCCAGATATGTTCTGATTTGTTAGATAAGCGTTCTCCATTCTAATATACTAGATTTGACCTTTAACCTCAGTGAACATGATAATTTTGGGATACCATCGTTTCTCATCTGCAGGCTCAGAGGCTTAGGACTCGAGATCGCTCCTCTTGCCTGGAGCTTCTGCCAGCTGCCACAGTGGGACTGAGCATGCAGGAAAGTGCCCTCCCCTGAGGCTCCCCAGGGCCCACTGGTACCAGGCCTGGCCAGCTTTACTCACTGGGCCAGCCCCTGCGCCCCAGCAGTATTTTGGAAAGGAGCATTTGGACCATTAATACAGGCAAGGAGGGAGAGGGTAATGAAGGGAGTCTGTCGAGTGTGTATTTAACCCTGTGATGGGCTCAGAACTCCGAGCTTCATTTCCTTAACTGTCAAATGGGCATAATAAAGAGTTCCTTTCTGCTAACGTGGTTGTGAGAGCCAGATGAGATGGAACATGTAAGGTGCTTAACACTGTGGCCTGGCTCAGCTGGGTGTCCATAGTGACAGCTGATACCATCACCACCATCACACTGCTTCTCTGAGAGCAGAAATACCTCCACTGAAACATCCTAGCAAGGCAAACACAGTGGCATTGGTGTGAGAGTTCAGTGGTGTAATCTGGCAGTTGGTCCTGAAAGTAGCCGTGCTCATACTGTCAGGACAGAAGCCTAGTCCATGAGGTCATGTGTACCTGTCGTACACTGTGGCTTTGTTCCTGCTGACAAACAGAGCACAGCCCCATGCGGGCTGCTGGCTGGGATATAGACATGTAGGAAGTGATTGCTGGGCCTCAGAGGCTTCCTGTGCATTTGGAAGGCAGTATGTGCAGAGGTGAAGCCTGCAGGACTCTCTTTAGACTTCAGGGTCCTGATGTTTAAGGTGAGATTGTTGGTCTGCATGAACTGTGAGGCCCCTCTGAAGACTTAAAGAGCTTTGTGAAAGTATTTGAACTTTGGCAGGGAGCCAAATATATAACAATGGCCATTGATTGCATGACTACCCTGTGCTTGGCACTGGGCTAAGCACTTACGTGGACTTTTGTCTTTAATCCTCATAGTAGCCTATGAGATAAATTCTATTGTTTCCATTTTACAGATGAGAAACCAGGTTCAGAGGAGTTAGGTGATTAACCCAAAATCACACAGCTGGTTTTGGACTCCTCTCTGACGTTTGTCAACTCACTTCTAACTTCTCTCTGTGGACTAACCTTAGTCTGTGTGTTAACCTCTGTGCTGTGTGGTCTTATAAAAGAAATTGGCTTATTACTTCAAGTAGTTTTTTATCTTCTTAAAGATTGTGAAGATCCAGGTAGAACAATTTATTATTCAAGAAAAGAAATGAGATGAGTTTTGAATTCAGTGGATAATTTTACCACTGGCATTATGCCTAACAATTCTCTGGAGCAGCTTTCTACACCTGGGGCTCCCTCATACAAAACTGGGCAAACTCAATTTGACCAAGATGGGAGATTTCTTTCCTATTCTTATAGAATTCCATCTTCTTTAAAGGTAATTATTTAATCTTTAAATTAATGATCCTCAAATAATGACTGCCCTTTATATTCTCGACACTTCTGAGTGATTTAATATGAGGGATCTGCTAATATTTACGTAAAGCTGAGGAATTTAACACAGCAAGCATGTATTAAGCAGTATTCTGGGTTAAGCACTGTACCAGGTGCCCTGAATGGGGTTCCTGCCTTCAGAACTTGCATTGTGGTGGGGAGTTAAGATGTGTACTCAGCTAACTACACTGCAAGACAGTGTGTGTATATGTGTGTGTGTGTTCATCTGGTGTTAACAAAATAGAATCACAGAAAGAACTGATGAATTGCATCTGGGAGCATCAAGGAAGCCTTCATGGAGGAAGCTGCTTTTGAGCTGGGCCTTGATACATGGGTTGGCAGAGGTGAATGTGTGTAGTGTGGTGGAAATGAGCATTTGTGGCTTCTGGAAGGAAGAACATTTGCTCAGGGCCTATTATATGCCCATCACTGTGTTAGAATTGGGATTAACTGGGGTACTTAGGTCGGCTGAACAGTTGGGGTGGGAGAGGAAGCAAAAGGTGGAAGGAGGTTATGGCCTGCTGGGCTAGGACCAGGTAGTGGTGGCCTCCATGCCGTGGAGCCTAATGAGAGGTTTTGAACAGTTTCAGGATTAATTGCCTGTGTTGAGGAGCTTACCCTCTGTCACAGGTTTATTGAGTATCTCGTTTTCTCTTATTCAGTCTGCTCCAACAGGTAGGACTTCTTATCTCATTTTGCAGATGAGAAAAGTGAGGTTTAGCAAAGTTAAGTATCTTGCCCATTGCCTTTGCACTAATAAATTGGGAGCTGCAGTTTGTGCCCCAGTCTCTGAGTGTGACTTCAAAGCCCAAACCCCACCATGAAAAAGATGGGCTAGAGAAAAGGTTGGAAGTGAAAAAGCTCACAAGGAGGTGGGGGCAGTTGGCAGTCGTACAGGTGAGAACAGTGGGAGGGTGGAAATGGGAGCATGGACAGAGCCAGGGCAGAGTCCATAGCCCTGGAGCAAGAGGGAGAGGAGGGAGTGTTGTGCGGGGTTTGGAGGCAATGGAGGACATTGGGCAGGACAGTGGCCACAGGCTCCTTGGCGACTCAGTGAGGTAAGGATATGGCTGGTTGGACCATGCTGAGCCAAAAGAGTTTGGGAAATGGATAAGTGACTCAGATTAAAGCACAGTGAGCTCCAGAGTTCTGGTGCCAGACCTTCCCTGGAGGAACTGTTCATCACCTTTGTCATCCTTGCTTCAGTTTCTCCATCAGTGCAACAAGGTAGTGGAATGGCTTGTTGGGCAGGGGACTCCAGAGAAATTCACAGCCTGTAGACCAGCTCAGCAGTACCAACCCAGCCCTTGTGAAATAGGCCTCTTTTTGACCGTCCCATGTGACAAATCCATTCTGAACAGAATGGTAAAAGCCCAAAGAATGCACTTTTCTACCACTTAGCAAATGCCCCTGAGGAGAAACCTAATCTCTGATAAGACTTCCTGCCTCTTTGTCCTTAATGAGCATTTTGGACATAGCAAGCCATGTGGCATTCCTTCCAAACACTGGGTCCATTTATTTTTTATTTTTATTTTTTTAATTCTCACCCAAGGACACATTTTCATTGATTTTTTTTTAGAAAGAGAGGAAGGAGGAGAGAGAGAGACATCGATGTGAGAGAAACATCGATCAGTTGCCTCTTGCATGTGCCCCGACCGAGGATTGAACCCACAACCTTTTTGGTGTATAGGACGACCCTCCAACCAACTGAGCAACCCAGCCAAGGCATGGGTTTATTTAAAATGAAGGCATTAGGAGAAAGGAATGCTCAAGTATGATGTCTCATGTCAGAGACACTGTTATGATTTCATTCTTCTAAAGAACATTTTTTAGCCCAGCTGGTGTGGCTCAGTGGTTGAGTGTCAACCCAGGAACCAAGAGATCATGGTTCAATTCCTGGTCAGGCCACAGGCCCCAGTTGCTGGCTCGATCCCCAGAAGGGGGCGTGCAAGAGGCAGCCAGTCAATGATGTTTCTCTCTCATTGATGTTTCTCTCTATCCCTCTCCAGTCCTCTCCCTCTAAAAGTCAGTAAAAACATTTAAAAAGTAAAAATAATAAAAAGAGCATTTTTTTTAAAGAGCTCAATCATCTTCCCAAACCCATTCCCAACCTACCAGTAGATGGGCTTCAGAAGAGCCTCCGGGGCTAGCTGTAACTGTATGTTTCTTTTAAAGAGCACAGGTAGTGCTGTGCAGAACCCCACAGAGGATCACATGGCTGTGGGGAATGTAAGAGAGACGGTGCTGTGCCCATGGCTCCAGGATATGGGCAGGATCAGCACCCTAAACATGATGTGGTCCACAGTGCCCCCTGGTGGTGGTAGGTAGTCTGGTGCTCTTTGTCCTGGGGAAAGGAGAGACCCAGTTTCCTTCTCACTGGGGAAGATTTACTCCCAAACTAGAGCAACCTCTGGCATCTGCTCCAGGTCCAGTGATACCCTGAAAGAAGTATAGTTTGGGAGGATTCAGGCCTGCCTTTTCAGTGTCTGGAAGAAAGGCTCTGAGACCAAGGGGTAAGGAGATTTGAGGACGACTGGAAATTGTTTTCAAGGGGTACTCTATACTTGCCCTATTTTAAATGGTAGCCACCAGCCACATGTGACTATGGAGCATTTGGATTGCGAGGAGCTGTAAGAGCAAAATACACACTGGATTTCAAAGACTTCGTATAAAAAATAATGTGATATGCCTCTAATATTTTTTTACATGTTGAAATGATAATATTTTGGGTTAAATATATTAAAACTAATTTATTACATATAAATTTAACCTGTTTCTTTTTACTGTTCACTATGGCTGCTAGAAAATTTTAAATTATGTATGTGGCCTGCATTATATTTCTACTAGATAGTATTGCTCTATGCTAGGGGTAGAGAACGTTCTTTCTGCCAAGGGCCATTTGGGTATAACATCATGTGCAGGCCATACAAAATTATCAACTTAAAAATTAGCTATGAAAAATGCTCCTAGATTTATTGAATTTCAACTCCCACCTGCAGTTGCCTTGGCAGGGCCTGACCAAATGATTTTTCAAGCCATATATGGCCCTCGGGCTGGACATTCCCCACCCCTGCTCTATACAAATGGGCTTTGGGCCAAGAGGAGGGGCCCATGTGACCGGGACTGATTCCAAGTTTGCCCTTGGGTTAACTTCTATAGCTAAAGCTGACTTTTTGGAGAGGTGGAGTGGGCTTGGCCTTTGTGATTCATCCCTTTCCTCACAAAGAGCCCCCTAAAATCCCATTTTTCAAAAGTCATCCCTTTGAATTAACACAAGCTTTTCAAAATGCAGGTCCCTGAGATTAAGAACCTAACACCTAAACTGAACATTTTGAGATCCAGAATGCCTTCATGATAGAGTAGGGGACCTCAGAGGGAACTAGGGGAAGTAGAAAAAGAGAAGTCACGCCCAGCTACTGCCCAATCCTTCTCTTTGTGGTCAGCTCTCTGGCTTTGAGGCTGCCTGTCTTTTACAAGTTGACCTCTGCCCTTCCTAAGGACCCCTGGGAGTTTTGGAAGAGCCCTGTCAGAAGTTTCATTTTTGTTTTCTCCTTTCCTCTGTCATACCAATTCTGAGTGATTTAACTGACATGAGAAGTCTGACTTTTTTTTGAAATATAAAAGCAAAGCTCATATACTTTATGTAAAGGGATCCTGGATGGCTAAATACAGCATTAAGATGTGGAGTATATGGAGCAGAATTTGTTCTGCAGCTTGGCATGCTTCAGACATTTTATATATAT